GGATCGGGCATCTACAACCTCTCTGGGCAACCTGTGCCAGTGTTTCACCACCCTCATTGTAAAAAATGTCTTCCTTATATCTAGTCTGAATCTACCCTCCTTTAGTTTAAAACCACTACTCCTTGTCCTACTGCAACAGGCACTGCAAAAAAGTTTGTCCCCATCTTTCTTATAACGCCCGTTTAAGTACTGGAAGGCTGCAATAAGGTCTCCCCGCAGCCTTCTCTTCTCCAGGCTGAACAGCCCCAACTCTCTCAACCTTTCACGGAATCACAGAATCACAGAATGATAGGGGTTGGAAGGGACCTCTGTGGGTCATCTAGTCCAACCCTCCTGCCCAAGCAGGGTCACCTACTTTCCTCACAGGAGAGATTCTCCAGCCCTCGGATCATCTTTGTGACCCTCCTCTGGACCTGCTCCAACAGGTCCATGTCCTTCTTGTGCTGAGGGCTCCAGAGTTGGATGCAGGACTCCAGGTGGGGTCTCACCAGAGCAGAGCAGAGGGGCAGAATCCCCTCCCTCACCCTGGTGGCCACGCTTCTTTTGGTGCAGCCCAGGGTACAGTTGGCCCTGTTGTTCTCCTTTATCAGCTTCCCACCGTTTTTGCATCCTGCAGCCAAACACTGCTTTCAGGCCAAACAAACTACATCCGTCTCTCCCCGGTTCAACACCACCTCTCATATCAACACACAAAAAAAGAAGGGAATTCACAAGGAACATCTTCAATAATTAAATGCTCAGCTTGCCTGTGGGTTTCCTTTCAACAAAGCCACAGCAACTCTAGGAAATCGTGGCTAAGACAGTAAGAATAGCCAGATCAATCTCCAACCACTTATCTTACAAACCAAGAACCACCTGCACCTGCCACGCTCCCTTTCTCCTTAAATCCATAGAAAATATATTCAGAGTGCACCCAATATTGGTTGCAGCAGTTAACTTAGTGGACAGACAGGACTCTTGCTGCTCCCCTTTTTTCTACGTACTACAGCAAAATAAGTATTTAATACCACCAGTCACAACAAAATACACCGTTCCACACACTAAAAAATCAAACAGAAATCAGCCAAAATCATGAATCTTGCTTAGCAAGCCCGTGTTATAGCAGTAAGTGAATAGGTTGGCTTTGGTGGTGTCTGGAGAACTCAGGTAGCAACTGATAAGGGCACAGTGGAATAAAGCATATTTGTGTAGCTTTAACTCTTATTTTCCGCTTCAAAGTTTTCTACCATGTCCTCCAACAACAATGCAAAAGCTTACAAGGAATTGCCTTTTACAGCTACCATCAAGTAATGAAGCTTTTCTCTCTTGATTTGATATTACATCTGTAACTTGGTTTTACATCGAAGGCTCTCTTAGAATTTTCTCTATCCCCGACGTGTGTGCCTGCAGCTGGACAGAGAAGCCACTACACTTTGAAGGAGTTGCTATAAGTTACTGCATGGGGTTAGATGAGGTTCAGGATTCCTGCAGTGATTATAAACTCAGCGGGAGTCCTTACAACAGCTCCGATCTCGACAGGGTTACTGTCTTGTTAATCAACCTCCTTCAGGACTGGAAGCGGTTCTGTGTCTCAGTTCTTGGGGGCTTTCTTTGGAAGCTGCAGTTTCGTGCAGAACGATCTGTCAATTTACAAAGTCTACAGAGCTCTGATACATTTGGTAAAACAACATCAAAAAAGGCTAGACTTAAGCCGCGGCACCCCGCGTTGCACCAGGCAGCACAAAGACTACAAATTCTTGTCACAGTTCGTGCAAAATAAGATTCGGTGATTTTAAAGCAATGCCTCAACTGATTTTGCAGCCCAGGGCCAGATGTTATCTCTGGCCACGTCCTGAAACCAGGGGGTGACAAGACCTGTGCGCAGACCAGCACTCTCCTCCTCTCACCCGCTGGGGGAATGAAGCACAGGGAAGCAGATGGAGCAGGCTTGGGACACACTTCCTACTGCCCTTGGTCTTGGCTGGGGAGACACGGACATGCTGTGGAAGTAGCTATCCCTTGGAAGAGCCACAGCCTGATGTGCACAGGGAGCACACTGTCTAGAAAGTGAGCATGTTTTCTGCTTTGTGCTGCACAAGAGACAGCTAAAATAGGGTCTAATGTTCCTTAAAAATATAATTTTTAAGCATCTTCTTCCTTTTGCTGATGATCCATACAGTGGAGTGGCCCTTATAATAAACACATTTCAGTGCGCCAGCAAAAAGCTATCTTTTCTGAGGGGAACGCCAGGATTGCAGCTCCTGTAGCTTTTAATTGTCTTCCTCTGGGCACCCATACAGGAACTGCATGCATTCTGTCTGAAAAGGAGCTAAACTTTGGCTTCCCTATGCGAATAGCATGTCCAATAAACACATGGAAATGGCATTCCTTATAAATCATCTGTTTCAGAAAACCAGAAAATCTGTGTTAAAGCTGAATGGATCAGTACAGCACAAAAAGAGGGCAAAGAGATGGCTGGATGTCAGTAATTTACAAAGTGAGTGGCAATGGCACATTATTACTTTTGCTGCTTTCACTTAGCTCCCAGTAACAGCAACACAGCTGATGTGGATTTGTATTGCGAGAATACCTAAGAACTGCTTTTGTACTCTACAGCAGTTCCCAGACACAGAAAGTTCATTTTTCAGGACAAAACAGAGCAGATGCATACACCTGGCCTGACCGGGCACTACCAAGGGCCAAGTGGGACAACAATGTCCAAGCATGAGAAACAGCAGTGTAGCCTTCACCTGACCAGTGTTTTTCCACAGTCCTTGGAAAAAAGGAGGCTCTAAAGACAGTATCTGAAGATCGGGATGGAGCTAATTGGGAGACTGTTCAAGGCTCTTCCCAGATCTGATGGGAAGCATCGGGGAAATTAATTGATGTAAAACTTAGCAACAAGGTGACAGAGGCTGGCATCACCAGGTAAGCTAAAGTGGGAGCTAATATGTTAGCACAAACAGGTAGACTTGAGGCCTTAAAATCAGAGACAAACAGCTGTACTTTATGTGATAGAGAAGGAGATGACAGTGGTGAGATGTGAAGACAAATGTCTTTGGGCAAGATGTCAAGCTAGGAAAATGATCTGCGCATCAGCGTGAATTGAGGTGGGTAACATTGCATTTGTCAAAACCACGGAAAGGATGTCGCAGCAATCACGGGACGTAATGAGAATTTGGACCTGAGACTTCCACCGTTGTGGATAAAGAGCTTCAGCTAGAAATACTACAGAGTAACAGCCTGCAAGATTTACACGTAGTCTTAGACAGAGACACAAAGGAAGTTCAGGATAGAAAGTGATGCCCAGGTTGCAGACCTGGAGAACGGACAGATTGGAGAGGTTACCCATGACAACGGAGTATTCATGTGAGAACAAGAGCCAGGGGATGAAAACCATGCGCTCTCTATTTTAGCCATGCTAAGCCCCAGCAGAGAGTGAGATACTGACGTGAAGCATGTGGCTTTTGAGCTGCGGGATGTTTTATTCAGTTTTCAAGCAAAGTGAAAGAATCTGTGAATAAATCCTCACGAACTAAAGGGTCCCACCCATCCAAGGATGTCCTGAATGCTTCATCACAAAGCTTCATGAAAACATATCTTGAGGAACGTTCCCAAGGGGGAAAAAAGAGAGAGCAGCAGCTGTGGTCACTGGTTTGGAGATGCACCTTACCACCCCTAGTCCTACAGTGCGTTTTTCTTCTCAGCTGGGGTCTCTTACACATCCATGTTCCTCTGCATGGAAGGAACCATGTCTCTTCTACGTTTTTTGGCTACTTGCACAGGCCAAATTGGACAACCTAAGGAGGATTGTTCGTCATAAAAGCCTTGCATAAAAAAGGGCGAATGAGCCTCACATCACATCCTATACTTAGTGCATTGTGAAAAATGTAAAAAGCTCTCATGAATTATACTATCTGCTACTAATTTGTAACAAAACAGCAGGGACCGAGGCTGAGGCTTGTTGAACATGCGGTTCAGCCCTACAAAAGCCTGCTTTGTAAACGTTAGCTAAGTAAAAGCTCTGCCAGTGAAGTCATAAGCCATCCATCATCATCACCCTTCGATAAACTCTTTGTCCAGTTTAAGAATTAAAAGCTGTATTTAACACATTCAGGCAGAATGGAGAAATGCCTTTAGAAACAACAGGCTTAATGCACTACTAACGTCTAAACCAAATATTTATAGACCCATAGTTTATAAACAATCTGAAATATTTGGGTAGTGGATATCCAAGAGGTGGAAGAGCACACAGTAGTAGGGAGGCTTCACCATTTCATCTACCTTGGTTGCTGTTTCACTCACTATTATATCAGATTTATAAGCACTGTGAATTCTTGAATTATCAGTTTAGAAAAAGAACCAAAAAAACCCGTGAGTTAAAACATATGGAAATGTTTCATTGTTTATAGATTTTTCAGCCTCAGAAAACAATCAATATCAAAGTTGATTCAAGCCAAGATCTGTCTGGATGTGTATTAATTTTCTCCATGAAAATAAACTAGAAATTACTAAGATAAAAGAAATAATAATGAAATATGGAAATAACTACAGATTTTGCACATTGTCATTACATAACGGACATAATGCACATAATGACATTACATAATGGATTCTAATTAAATCCAGGTGGAAAATGACCTTCCTAGACCTCCCTTCAAAATTAAGATTTTTGACAGCCATGATTAATGGAAACATGCACTTTGCATGGTTTGTAAACCTGAAACATCATTGTACATTTCAGTTTATAATTTACCCCATTATCTGCTTCTGCATGCATGAAGGTCAGCCACACTGGCACAAAGTAGCAGTGAAATCCAGAGGCTCTAGAAGGTTGTTTTCACAGATTTTTCAATTATTTTTTATAAGGAAATGATTTTGCCTGCTTTTTCCTTAAAAAATGACAATCTAAAAGAGTAATATTTTTAACAGCGGTAATTGTAATATTCTTGTTATTCTCTTGGTTTTTTTAGAGTAAACAAAATAGCACCGGACAAAAATGTTTTTTTAAGGATTCCTACCCGCAATATTTCTTCAATGCAGCTGTTATCTCCTGTTCCATTGTCCTGTAAACAAAATAAGAAAATAGTTTGTTTGTGTTTTAACAAGAAATAACAAATAGCAGGTTTGAGGACATGGTTGTCACATGAAATATATTCCAACCTCTATTACAGTTTTGAAATGAGGCCAAGTCTTTCCAGCATCTGAAAATTTGCGCTGCTTAAAATTCTAAAATTATTCCCCATCAGCACCACAGGAAGATGTAATATTTGCAGTGTTTACATACGATTGCCACATATTTGTATAAATTCATAGGATTTTGTTTACACCGCTTTTGGGTGTGGTTCCTGCTGGTTTGGATATACTGCATACGAGGAAGCATAAGCAAAACAGTTACGATATGTGCTTTATTTGTACTAAACAAATAACATCTCTCCACATTCTTGGTGCAGGAAAGACTGCAGTGACACTGGCTATGTGAAGCCTGACAACGTATAGTGTGGAGGCAACTGTAATGCTGAGGGGAGAGCTGCAGAGACTGCAACACAGGCTGCAACACTGAGCGCGGGCTGGGCAGCACGGCACTCCTCAGCAGGCTATGATTTCCTAAAATGCTGGCCCGAAACCCACCCGTATGTTGTGGGACTGAGGGCGCAGAGGTATTCAGCTCTCCTGAACGGTATCGCTTCCTCTGGAGCCACTCCGGGGAGAGGAAATCAGAGAGGTTGCACAGAGAGGTGGTAGATGCCCCATCCCTGGAAACATTCAAGGCCGGGCTGGATGGGGATCTGAGCAACTTGACAGAGTTGAAGATGTCCCTGCCCATGGCAGGGGGTTTGGACTAGACAACCTCTAAAGGTCCCTTCCAACCCAAAGCATTCTATGATTTGGCAGAGCAGCTACCCCCTGTAGGAACCATCCAGCCGGTGCCTCACCTACGTGCTCAGCTTCATTGTTCATTGGGACTCAAACTTCTTGCCAGCAAAGACGAGGCAGCGTGAGATGCCACCAGTCTGTGCTACTCCTGCTGCCCCCGCCCTGCCTGTCCCCTGCCCACATTCCCCTTGTGCTGCCCAGCAGAGCTGGGAAGAGAGGGCACACCAGGACGGACGTACTGATGCTGGGGGAGTGCCCCCCTCCTGCATCTCTCCACAACACACTGACGGCTGCTGCACCACGCAAGTTTTCTGGGGATTTCCTTCGCCACACTAAATTTTCTGACAATTCCCCAAAGAAAGGTTTTCTTCCTTTTGCAGAGCAGGACTAACCCAGGAGGCAGGAGACTGGGGCTTGAGGTCTTCTCACGTGGGAAGGGGGAATAGAAACAAAACCAATATGATTAATTACTGTCCCGAAAGAGCTGTCAGGGAGGAGAGCTTCATCTTTGCCTCTCGTTTTCTAAAACCACCTGGATGTTCTGAGTTCTCAGGTGCTCACTTGGACAAACATCAAAGCAATTTGATTTTCCAAAGTGCTGACTTCGTCAGCTGGAAATCAGACTTCTTCACCACACCTGCATTTGGGCACCCAAAAAAACATGAAGCACTTTCAAAAATGGATACCTCTGTGGCTACCAGACCCAAATGATACCACTAGCCAGCATGTGCAAGTCCTGGACACTGTCACCGCCGCTCGCCAGCCTGAGCTGAATCACTGAGGAGCTCTGGATCCACAGCTGCTCGTAGCCTAACAGCTGTAACCAAGGTCAGAAGTATGCACATGCAAGGGAACAATTTATGTTGCAGAATTTTTTCTGGCCGTTATTTCATGCCAATTCGTAGAAAGTCATAAGTGCTTTATTGTCAGCACTCCTGCTAAATCTTTCCTGAATATGGCCCTTGATTGTTAAACAAATGAATCGCCGTGACTCCTTCTGGTGCAACACAGTCCATCAGCTTTACAGTCACCAGGAGTTACACTGCTGATTTCAAAGGGAAAGCAACTAAGCATGTCATAAAGTCAGCCTTTGGAGAATTACTGCTGTAATGATGTAGTGATGCTGAAGAGAAGCTGCAGCCCTGTGCAGGTAGCCCTCTTCTGATCTCAGCCCTGTCCCCAAGGAGCCACACAAAGCCGCGTGCAACCTTTCCTGATGCTGGAGCAGGAGCGCAAGTGCAAGAGTTCATGTTGCCAATGAAGCTAACAAGACAGACAGAAACACCACAACAATATCTGGGTAGTTAAGAATTTTAAAATTAGTATTACCTAATTTTTATTTCTCTCTCCTCTGTGGGTTTCCCTCCATTTTATCCCTTTCCTTTCTCAAACCCTGGTCTATGCCTTGTTAGCCCCTGAACAACAGCGGAGAGTGTAAAGCTCTCATCAGCAGCGCCTTATTTACAGAGCAACAAATTTACCGTCTGACCTCACGTTTGCTATTCTAGTCCACTGCTGTCTTACAGAAGGAGGGATGAGATGACCTACCATCTCATGTTGTATACGATACACTGAACATACAGTAAAATGATGCTTTTTATTTTTGTGTGAAGGCAAAACTACTGAAGGCAAACTTTGCAACAGGCTATTTCAGAGTAGGTTTTGAAACAGGCTTCTGTTTCATAACTGAATAACCCTCCTAAAGGTGTAATGAAATAAGTCTGCAAATACTCATCAGCAAGAAATTACACTTTCCATTACCACAGAACTAAAGCTTTAGCTATTCTCCCTAGCACATTGTACCTCCGGGCAGCGAGTAAAAAAACTTTCCACATCTCTCTCTTAATAACATCACATTGCCTTTCAAAAGGCAAAAAAAGCTGGAAAGACAAACCCAAAGACAAGACATGCAAAACCAAAAACAATATTTGGAAACCTCCCTCAATTTCTGTATTATCCTCTTTGTTCTTCATCTTTTGAAAGCCAAATATAAATTTCTTGATTTATTTTTGCTTTGAATACTTGTAAGGAGATTACGTTACTTTTGATATCTAACTTGCTAGAACAAGGGCGGGGAAGTTAAGGGACCATGCTCTGCACACAGCAAGCAACTTCAATTTCATATGGCCTGGGGCCATATTGTTTTTTCTTCAAAATATCATACAATACAATGCAGAGTGCTATTGTGGGATCTAAGGTATGTCTGAAAGATGTCTGTATATGTTGGTATGGAAAAGACTTCCCATTCTTACTCCAGAAGCTTCTCTTCTCTGCTACGTCTCGACATACATTACAGAGGAATCCTCACCGCCCAGGAATCTGGCAACCTGAATTTAACTTCATGGTCATATTTTAATTTAAAGAAAAAAAAAGAAAGCTGGTAAATGTTTCCTGAAATCTGAAATAAAAGACAAGATTGCATTACCTGCAGGCAACAAATAGCACAGAGCACTCCACACACTATGTGCATCAGCAGACTTGCCTGATCCAAACAATATTGTGTCCTTCCTGGCTGCGTGACGCAGCACCTGCGTAAGGCTGATGTCAGACACGCCGGCAATCTGCGCAAAGCCGTCCCTCCGCCCTCTTGACAGCCTGCACGCCATAGTACACTTGTGCAATAGACGTCTTAACTAGTTCAAAAAGATAAAATAAAACAAAGGTTCTGAGGCTGCTGTTCCCAATCAAGCCGAGGAGCTGCCACCCTGTATTTACCCTGACATTGATGAACCCAGCTCATTTGCCTCCCTTTTGCATTTTGCGATCTGTCATAACAAACTCGCCTCACTGAACCTCCAGTGAACCATCAGCGAAACACTGGCAAGGGGAGCTGCCGGGGGAAGTGGGCTCCAGCCTCTTCCTCTCCGTTGCTGCGCCCGTTACCTTCGTTCCTCTGCCAGTGCAGCCTGAAGAACGCCAACCATCTGCACACACGTGCGGCTGGCGCACAGGCTGGCGGATCGGAGGACGCGAGGAGCTGCCGACGAGGATAACGGCAGCGGCTGCTGCAGAAATAGCCGGGAGCATCGTGCCGCTGATAACACAAGCAGCTAATTACCATGCAAAGCACAGAGAACTGTAAGAAACCAGGCTGACTAAAGGCAGCATCGCGTTCTTGAGAAACAGGATGTCATTTCAAAAAAGCTACATCTCTACAAATTTTATTTCAGACCATTACTTTATTTTTTCTTCCCTTACCAACAGCTTTCACATGGAGATATATAAAGAAACCCCTCTGAAAGTAATTGCCTATCTGTGATACTTCTCCCCCCTTTCTACTCTTTGTGTTAAGGAAAAAGAAAAATCTTCTGCAAGTATCAATTTCCATTTTAGCCTAAGAGATTCTTATGCTGAGAGCTTTTGGTGCTGTTATTATTTGGACTGTGCCAAGCATTCTTACAAATTCTCCAGAAGCTACTGGATTTTGTCTCCAGTATAAATTAGGCATGATTAAGATCTCCAGAAGGCCGAGGTATGTACTCAGCCTCTTCCACTTGGCGGGAGTTGGCGCTTGAACGCTGGTCATCTGCAGCCAGAGGCATGGCAGCAGCCACCATGTGGCCACCCTTTGGGGCCACCCCCTCCCAGTGTAGCTCCCAGCCCCATGCTAGACAGCATTGCTCAACACGGGGCTGCCGGCTGAAGGGAAGCTTCAGGCAGAGAAAGCTCGTAGGCAATAACCTAAATCTATGATTGAAAAAAAATAGGAAAAAAGGGGAAAAAATTCCACATTGATGGAACTTGATCTGAAAGTGTATTAGAAATGCTTCTTTGTCAGTCAAGACTATGATGGTGTGGAGATGCTCCCACATGCATGCATGTATGTATAGATAATGTTTTCTATATAATCCATTTGCTAGAAAGGAACTTCCAAACTGTAAAACAAACAGTTATGGAGAAGATAAGTACAGGGGATCCAGGAGACGTCAGTAAAAGGAAAGAGCTGTGTGCTTAAAAAAAGGAAAGATATTGATTTCCTTTAAGAAAGGAAAGCTCACCATCACCGTTACAGAACCTAAGTATCTCTGGGCTCTCTGCAGTCGTTTCCCTGGCAGGGCTGCATTCACGCACGCGTGCATTGTTCATTGCATCACACAGATGTGCTTTTCCCAGTCCTTATTTTTGTTAGAGTGGCTAGTGTTTCTCATGGGGTAAGGCTGACAGGCGTTTTCCTTATCTTTTTACTTGC